CTATCTTTATTTTCAATCGATATGTCAACTTTGCAATTTAATAGGTTAATAATGTATATAGGCTATAGGCACAATAAGGTACTGTATACGTTTTTATAATAATGTAATGTTCTCGTAGTCTTGGCATTGAAAAATTAAAGAGATATCTATCCAAAACAAAACTATATGATTGATTGTGCTGAAAACTTTAAAATGTAATTCATTTATAATTGATGCACGAGAAGATATATTTAACGAAACACTCGTGACTCGTCAAAAGCAATGCGTTTAATATTATGTTGTTAATTATAARCTATAATTAGTCTGCCGTAATCTTGAACAATCTCTTAAATTGTGAATGGGACTCATCGTGATCAGGTGCTTGAGACATAAAAAAACAGTAAATAGGTACATAAAATGTCAGCCATTTTTTTAGGTGATAAAAAAATAATGCATTAGACATTTTAAAACAATGAAAACTATCAAATATAATTCATTGAGCTAAATCGACCATATATAGATACTAAAACATCTAAAATTAAATCTATAGCAATATTATACTTAACATATTAAATGTAGGTGTTTATACTCTATAGCACTTATTCGAAATCCACACATACATATATGTTCAATATTAAAATAATTTAAGTGTAATATATTCAATTTGTTTATATTTGCTAATTTTGACAAAATATGTATGTCGTAKCCCGTAGGCATATAGTCAAATCAGGCATTTTACTAAATGCCTAGGCTTATAGTCAAATAATTTAATTTRTATGCTATTTCACTATCTACCTAAACATTTAGTCAAATACCTAGTCATTTAATAAAATAACTAGGCATTTAACTAAATGCTARCTTMAAGTCWGGCAAATAATAAAAATTAAGTAAGTATTTTGTATTATTTTAAAAATTTAATTCTATTAATTATTTATTTATTGCTGTTTTGTATAAAAAAAAACTATGTATTATTTATTAATATGTAAAACACTGAGTTATTTGAAATATGTTTAATCTCGAGTTCATCGGTCTATATTTTTGAAGCCTAAATTCTAAATATATATTGGTAATTACTAGAATTAGATGTGATGCTATGATAGTACGAGTAGGTATGTTATATATAAAAATGAATAAGAAGAATAGGTTAAAAATTGTTTAGTYATTAATTGTTATTACATGTTATTGTTTTGTAGCATTTACTGGAATATTTAACATTTTTTTAAAATATAAACACCGACTGGTTTGACATTGTCGCTTTCCTGCTTGACAGTTACATTTAACAAAACCTTGACCGTTGAAAATGGTTAAGCTTGCTACGGCTTCACGTATGAACACGAATTTGTCTTTTTGTAATTTGTTGTTTTCTATATCACTATTCGAAACTAGATAAAGTTCTTCTCTGGTACACTSATTTTTTATTATACCAATTGCTGCGCCAACTTGGTAAACACCGTTCCGAATATCTATCATTATCCCATTTATATGTATTTTGATTATCKAGAGGTTCTTGGTCTAATTTTGGAACATTTAATACTATTTGATCACTAATCTTTAKTTCATTAAAAGTTTATAGAACTAAAACCTAATTTTAGTTAAGTACCTAATAAGGCTCGATATGGCTAACGATCCAAAATTCTATGATGTGAAATGTTGTTTTGCCATTGTATAAAATAAACTCCGATTGACCACTTGGTACTTTTACTGTCGACGACCCAAGCTCGTAACATGTTTTCGACATCTTTATTTGATTTTTCTACAGATCGCTGATTCTGAGGGTGCCGTGTCCATGTACTATCTTACAATCAGGACCTAACGTCATATTTTTGTCGTTATAATCGATAAGATTATAATTTGTCTCATTGTACTCAATCTCATAATACCAAGTATCTACGTTGATTTCCCAAGGTAAAAACCAATGGAACTTTTATTTTTATTTAATAATAATATTATAGGTATGTCCACTCACTTCTCGTGCTATATAGAGTAGGTATATAGACTATACTACTATATAGGGTATATTTAAAATAATACAAAATGTTTAATTTTTATTATTTGCTTGAATTGAAATAGGCATTAAGTTAAATGACGTTTTAAAATTATTATTTTTTGATAAAATTCAATATTATAATACGTTACCTAACTATTCATTAAAATATAGTTAAACTGGTATCAATGCGAGTGGGTCGTGGATGTCAYTCTGCTGTACAGAGGTTATAAAAAATTGTGACCATGAATTTATTTGATTTTTCAACYGCTATTGTAACAATATGTTAGGAGCCTTGTATTAAATTTTCMAGCTTTTCTACCCAACAAATAAATTTTTATCAACATTAATTTAAAATAAACTAATAATTATCGAAAATCACATATCCCTATAAATAGCTCAACKTAGTCGACATTTTTGAAAATTGCATGGTGGATAGAATGTACTTATATAAAAATTCGTGTATCTATGGTCATTTGTTTTAAAGTTAAATCAAAAATCAAAATCGATTTTGTCGAAAACTGATTG